CAGCTCCCAGAGACGTCATCACCTGCACTGTGGGTTGTTGTGGGCTAGTGATGGAGGAGTTAGCAGCATGGCCTGGAGTGGCTCTCAGTGGGCTGGAGCCAGCTGACACACGCCACTTAGGTTTCCAAGGAGCCAAGCTGTCCCCACTCACGCACGGCTGATGCACTTGTGGCTAAATGCGTTGCAGCTGGGGCCCTGTGCCAGATTCAGGGCAGGAAATAGAATGCCACCTCCATCACCAGGGAAACAATGGTCTGCATGCATGATTTAAGCCAGGGCCAACGAGAAAGCTCAAAGGGACGGTCCGCAGAGGAAGGGAGACCAGAGGGCGGCTTGCAAGGGTTTTGTCTTGGGTTGTAACTGCTGACAAGCCACTAACTGCCCACATATTTAAGTTTATCTGAGTATAAGATGGAGGCAACAATATTTACACATCTCACTGGGGACTTATGAAAACAGTATTTCTGACAGACCACTGGGGCTCCATGGATGGAAGGTGGTATGTAAGTGCAGATGATAAACTTACTGTGTGTTTGTGCTTTTAGCAGGTGCATTAGGGGCATGTAGACCCTCCAAAAAACACTTGTAGAGTCTGATCAAAAACAAGCAACAATAAAAGCTAATAGTTTTAGGTGCATGGATTTGTCTTTGGCTTTGTACAGGTTTGGGGGAACTGCATGTATAATTCAGACCTCAGAACCGTTTTCAAACTTACTGCTGTGATTAGTGCTAATAGGTCCTTCTATCATCTGAGAAGGCTGTAGCTGGGGATTGTTCCCAAATGTTTGCCAACTTTTCTCTAAAAAATTCCCAAGTTAATTTTGCTGTGTAGTTTATGAGTTGCACGTGGCATCTGGGACATTTGTTTCCAAGTTGGAAGGGTCCAAAAATCTGTATAAAAAAGAAAGCACAAAGAGGACTTGTTTATCTTCCCCCTTGGGGTTTGCTACTTCTGAGGAATCCTTCTGAGTCTGTTTTACCTCCCTACATTCTGTTCATTCAGGGCCAAGCAATTGATCTCAGACCTCCTGATAAGGTTATTAAATGTTGTTTTCTATCAGCCATGGACTCAAGGGAGTCTATTACTCTGTTCTTGGTTAATTAAACCTCTCTCTGGTGTCTATTGTCTCTCTAGTAATTCCTGTGAGTTCAGGTAAATGGTGATTATTATAGGAAAACAAACTTGTTTAATTATACAAATAATGCACATTAAAAGATACAGAATAATTGTTTCAAAGCAATATGGAAAATAAAGATCATCTACAATTAACCATACTGGCATATACGCATATTTAAGACAAACAGGTGATTCTAATGTATGTACTTGCTGTTGTCCGACCTACTTTTGGGATGAGGTCTTCACCTATTGAGTCTGAGGAGAACATCATAGATCCTCAGTCTCCTCATGGAAAGGGGTCCTGCTTCTATTGTATGCTGGAGGCTGCAGGGGGGCGGTGAGGACCTTAGAACTTCAGTCAGCACTGGCTTTCAAAGACTTTCAAAGACTTGTTCTCTCAGATGTCACTCCACTTCCTTAGCACTCCTGTGTTTTGGCAACGGCTGTACCCCAGAACTGGTAAACACTTGCTGATTTTAGCTTCAGTGTAGATGATGATCTTGCACCCTCCCAATCCATTTGCACCCTGTTGTCAGGTGCATTAGTCCCCCCGCCTCAGCCCCCCTTCATGCTAGCAGTACTTGATTAAGGCGTAGCTTACCTGCAGTACAATGCACAAATCTTAGAGCCTATTGAACACAGCAGACTTGTATCACACGTGCATACACCGATGTGACCACCACTTAGGATATAAAACATCTCCAGAATCCTCAAAGTGGCTTTGTGTCTCCTCTGAGTCAGTGCCCCCCACCGCTAGGTATATATTCCATACATTCTTAAACACTAATTTTACCATGTATTTCTTACCTAAAAACATTCCATAGGATTGTTGTCCCTATATCTTGCTGCTTTGGGTCCAAATGTTGCTGCCCAATTTTCTGGGTCCACTCTCTTTTGGGTCCTGCCTGCTGAATCATCTGGCCCTCCATCCACACCTCCTGGCCGGAGACCAGCCTATGCATTGTCTCTCCCACCTGCCAGGCTCCAGCTGAAACTCTATTCACACTGTGTCCTTTTGAGAATTGCCCTTTCCTTGGCCTCCCCAGATCTCACCCATCCACCAAGGCTCAACTTAAGTCCCATTTCCTCTAAGAAATCTTCCCTTTTTGCCAAGTGTTTTGCATCCTTCTTACATCTGAATTAGTTAACACTGTATAACTGAGTTTCTGCAGAGACTTGGGGACATGGAAGCCCAGCCAATATGCCCTTCCTACTTGTGATCCCTGCTGAGCATTTCTGTCCTGCAGCACAAGGTTTCCCAAACCCTCCTTTCTTTTCTCTCCCATTCTCTCGCATTGTGGGACTGACCCAGTCTGCCACTCTGCAACCCCAGTCCCTGCTCACTATCTATCTCTCCTCTTCTTTGCTTCCCTGCTTTTGGCACTATGCTCCCCAGCTCAGCCAAATCCTCTCTTCTAGACCGCAGCCCCTATCTTACCACCCATTCTTTGGATTTGACACAAAAAATTCCTGGAACCAGGCTCTCTTCACAGGGTAGGGATAGACTGAAAGGAGAGAATCTGAGCAGATGAAGAAAGAATTCTTTTTATCAGATATGGTAGGGCTGGAAACTCTGATATATCTTACAATTTTGCCCCATCACATCCACAGCCTTTGAGTCTAGGAGTTAGTGACTACCTCACTTTCTCTGTTGTTCCAAGGAGTTATCTTTGCTCCTGCCCAGACTTTCTGAATTTCCCATGGCATATGGAGAGTTCTGAGCTCACAAGGATTAGCACAATCAAGGGATTTAAATAAGATATTGCAGCTGATTGCTTAGCACTGGTCTACCTTTGATAAGGCTCAGAAAAGTGAGCTCATATCAAAAGCCTACTCCCCCTTCTCTGACTCTTGTCAGTCAGGCCAATTGAGTCAGGGTCCCACAGTGATGAGGTGGGGGAGGGAAGAGGAGTTTAGAAACTCTGCCCACTGCTGCAAACACAGGCCCTAGAGCTATAGAGCCAGGTCCAAGGCCCAGCATTGCATAAACTCTCACCATGAGCTTCAGTCTCTCCCTGGGGAAAATGGGGAACATAATCCATCCACCTCAAATAAGTGTAAATGTGAACACGTGTCAGAGTATTTTGCAAGAGGAGACATCTTCCCCATGTGAACTTGTAGAAGGGCCAGCAATGTACCATGTTGGTATGAAACTGTTTGGCCTGATTCTAACTTGCATATATAATTGTGTTTTTGAACTGACAGTTGGCTAATGCAGCTCCCCAGAGACAAAGTCAGGTTCTAGATAGAAGATGTTTTAGTTAGATTCCTTTCAGTTGTAAGCTGACTCAGAGTCTGGCTGCCTGAATTTATATAGGGAGTCTTGCACTGACTTTGGAAAGTGGCTTTATTACTCCAAGCCTCAGTTTACTTGTCTGTGAAGTGGGGATAATAGTCCCTTCCTCTTATAATTGTTGAGGCACAAAAGGTAATTTATGCAAAGTTGTAGCATAATGCTGGACACATAGACATGCTCAGTAAATATTAGTGCTTTTGTTATTTCCTAATAAGTATTGCTTGGTAAGTGTTGAGTGAATGAACGAATGAATGAATGGTTTCTGGTCTGGATTTGGCTCCTGAAAGTGCTTTTTTGTTCTTCTCTAGTATTTTCAGGCTGGTTCCATCTGAGTAGGCAGGGAACAATTTTCACTAGGCATGGGGGAAAGGAATTGATGAAATACAGAAGCTTCAAGCAGAGGTTGGAATGTTGACCACAGAAGACAGTGACATCCTGGAGGTGAACCCACCAGCCACCTAAAAGCCGGTAGGGGATGTTCCCCAAGCTCAGGCCAGGTTTCCATATAGCTGTCATTTCTCTCTCTGCTTCTTCAGAGAGGCCAGCTTGACTTTGGTTTTATTCCCAAGCCCAGTTCCTAGATTCATCTTGGCAGGACTGTGGCTGTTGTTTTAGTATCTTTTTGGGTAGCCAGGTGACACCATTGGAGACATTATTCTATGAAGAAATAAGCAACCAATATTGTATCTGGGGGGTCCTAGACCCTTTGCCCCCTCCTCATCTACTCAGACAACTGTCAGAGCCAAGCCTGTGGGGCAGAGCCTAATCTGTCTACACACACACACACACACACACACACACACACACACACACACACTTGTGCACGCACATACACAACCCTCTTAAACCCACATTGTGGGGCCAGAGTTCCATAGCTACTCTGAGGGCAACAGTTTTGCTATCTGGTCCTGTCTTTGCCATTGACTTCCTATATGACCTTCAGAAAGTCCCTTCCCCTCTGTGGGCTTCAGATTCTCCGTCTACAAAATGAAACCATTGACCTGAGGCAGGAGGAGTAGGTCATGCTTTCTCCCTCACTGCAGCTCTAGTCTCCAGGGCTCTGTATGTCTTTGTTGCTTCCTGAATAGTTTTACTTGAAGAGGGAACAGCTGAACCCTCCCAACCTGGAGATAACTAACTGAACTCCTAGCCAGGGTGCAAGCAGCCCCTGCGAAGAAAAGAAGGGTCCCTTACTCTGGCTGATCAGACCCTTCCTCTGTCTTGGAGGGCTGCCTGAAGGCAGTGATTCCCAGCTCCTCTCCTGGGCCCCTTGCACCAGGGTCCTGGGTTTTGAAATCAGGTCAGTTCTGCCCTAGGCTCCCTCCCTTTTTTCCTCCCTCCTCAGACCACACAGTGTTTGTTTCACAGCTGGACACTTCACTAAGTGATGCAGGAAGTAGGCCCCTGGGAAGCAGATACCACCCAGCAAACCAGATAACGGAGTGAAGCCTCTGGATGCCTCTGGGGCCTGGGGCAGGGTCAGAGATAAGCGGAAATGCCAGGCTTATCGCTGCAGGCTGAGTTCTAGAGAAATCATCCTGGCCGGCCAGCCCACCTCATTCTCAGCACTCCGAGGCGGTTGGGCATCTCTAGGCAGAGTAAACACTGAGCTGGCACAAGGGCCGCAGCCGCAGGATGGGGACTCTGTGCCCCACTAGGGCACTTCACAGCCCCAACGCCAGAGGCCAGCAGCGGGCGTCAGATTACATCCAGATATTTGCGGTAAGGGCGCTCCAGGCCGGTCTGCTTTGAAGTAGAAGCCTGAGGGACAATTGTTAGGGTCATGCGACTAAGGAAGCCTTGGTGACAATTATCCCCCAGACGTAGGTCCTCTTGGACCAAGAAGCACAGTCAGCAGGAAGCTCTGGTTGATGGATACAGCCCAGGGATGGTCAGCTTGGGCCTCCCCAAGTAAGGGTGTAGCGGGCAGACAAGACCTGGTGGCCGCTAACCCCAAATTTGTCCAGGTTGAACCTGTGAGACTTTCTGGGGTTCTGTTTCATTTCCGATTTCCTTTCCTGAATACGCTCGGCTTAATGGAGGACAGGTTTGCACTTTTTGAGTGCACATCAGCTAATGGTGCATGCAAGGGAGGTGGCCTGGGTGGGCTGGTACTTGGGGGAGCCGATTTAGGACTGGGAAGATGCTTCCTTTCCCTCCTGTCACCCCACAACGTGGTGGCTGGACACATTGCTGTCCTGTTGGCTGACCATCTGGAGGGAGGATAGTTGGGTGATGGTGAGTGGTAATCTCCACGGTTTTCATGGACTTACGTGTGCCAGGCACAGTGTGAAATGTTCATTTACATGAGTACTAGAACAGCCCTGTGCTTACAGCACTGCTCTGTGCCCCTTCACAGGTGAGGAAAGCTGCATTCAGAGAGGTTAAGTAAGTTCCAGTTATGCACTGGCCGGGGGGGCACTTTTCTGTAAAGTAGAAAAGCATACCTTTCCTCAAGATATGTGGCCTCCATTTTTCAGAAAGCTGTCACATTTGATTACATTACAAGACCCTTGCTAGACCCTTGCTGCAGCATGCTGCAACGCTTGTTATGAACATACACATCTGCAAAGTGTAGGACACGTTGTACATGTTGTACCCTAAGCTCTGCAAAACCTGCTTCCCAGAAGCAAACACAGGGGAGTCTTTCAGTGGTTTCTCCTCGTATTTGCCTCCACTTTCCTCCTTGTCAATTTTGTGCATTGTCTGTTCCTATTAAGAGAAATGATTCAGCTTTGTCACTCTTCCACTTCCCCTCTCCCATCCTTACAACATCACTGTTTTAACTTCATAAAGTGTTGACCTCATTATGGTATAATAGTGTAAACAATATTATGTAAATGGTATTGAAAAATCAATCATGTACTTTAATGTCCTTCTTTCAAAGGGTGCTTAAATTTTTTACATCTCCACAAGTCTTTTTTTTTTTTTTTTAATGTTTATGTATTTATTTTGAGAGCACGCAAGCAGGGGAGGGACAGAGGGAGAAAGAATAAATCCCAAGCAGGCTCCATACTCAGTGTGGAGCCAATGAGGAGGCTCAGTCTCACAAAGGTGAGATCATTACCTGAGCTGAAATCAAGAGTCAGAGGCTTAACTGACTGAACCATCCAGGTGCCCCACGTTTCTGCAAGTCTTAAAAACGCTTCTTTCTGTCCTTTGACAATGTGCAATGTCTTCAAATTTCTAATCTAGAATATACTCCATTCAGCCTGTGTCCCAGTGTCCAGTTGTTTTAGGACTGAGAAGTCTGATGTCATCCTGATTCTGGTTCTTTGGTGCATGATTTTTTCTTTTACATTTTGGGGAGCTTTTATAATCTTTTATCCCTGTGTTAAAAATTGCATGATGACTGTACTATTTCTTTGATAAATTCCTACCCTCTTTCATTTCTCCTGAAACTCCAGTTAACTAGGTGTGGGGCCGGATCCATTATCTACTCTCTTTTCTTTCTCTACATAGGGCTCTTCATCTTTTAACTCTCCTTTCTGGGATATTATCTTAATTTCATTTTTTCATCTCCAAATTGGATTTTAAAATTCTAACTCATGGGGTGTCTGGGTGGCTCATTCAGTTAAGCATCTGACTCTTGATTTTGTCTCAGATCATGATCTGACAGTTCATGGGTTAGAGCCCCAAATTGCGCTCCACCCTGACAGTGTGGAACTTGCTTGGAATTCTCTGTCTCTCTCTAGGCCCCCCACCCCTCCACCTCTCAAAATAAACAAATTAACTTAAAAAAATAAAAATTTAACATTTGTATTTTTAATTTCTAAGACCTGTCTTCTATTCTATGCCTGTGCTTTTCCCATAACATCTTCTTTTTTAATGGATGGAATAGCATTTCACACTTTTCTGTGGCAACTAATGAGAGCCTTTTTGAAACTTTCTTCTGTCTCTTGTTTTCTCTGTTTCCTCCATGATTACATTTCTGTTTTGGGGCACTTCCTTTTTCATCTTGGGGGCTTCTTTGAATATATGGTGATCTTTTTTTTTTTTTTTAATCTGTGCATATTTCAGAATAGGGCACAAAAAACTGGCTGAGTGGTTGAGGCTTGTGGGCTGGCTGGCTTTGTTGAGGATGAGGAACTCTCAGGGAATGCCGGTGGCAGTACATAGAGCTATTGTATTATGGACTACTGAGTTTCTCCAGAAACAGACCTCTGATCTCCATGGAGGGTGGGGGCTCTCCTGGCTATGCCTGTTCTATGCAGAAGTGGAGAAGGAGGAGAGCAACTACTTTGAAATGGACTCCTTAGCCTTGCATTTCTCCTCCCTTCTTATTCTACCTGGGGTCTCGGGGTCCACGGGGGTTGTACAGGGAATGTTGGCTGTCACCAGAAAGGCCAAGGATGAGTCTTGAGTTCAGTGCACATTGACCCCAGCCTATGGCAAACAGAGGTCAGTCTATGTTCTTCTGGGAGTGGATCAGCTGTCCCAGGAAAGATGAAGTGTCACTGGATTTGCTACTCTGTACCTATCCAGCATGGCTGCCTCTTCTCTGGTCTGTGTTGACTTGACTTGAGTGGTGAAATTGCCCCCTCCTCTGATCAGGTGCCATCGTCCATAAAGAATTGTCCATAGCTCTGGCTGTGCCCTGTACATCAAGGAGAGTTGGAGAGAAGCCATGTCTCAGCCCTCACAGGTCTCATTTCTCCTCAAGGCAGAGAAATGACAGGGATTCAAACCTGGCCCTCCTGGCTGCTCCTTTTCATCAAAGAACCCTCAAGGAGTTCACCTGTCGGCATATTCCAAGCTTTATCCCATGAAGTCCCAGAGCTTACTACTGGGAATTGTCAGGGCATCTTACCCTGTACTTTGTTGTGGGAAACCCCACCTGCTGTCTCGTTCCATAAGTCTCCGGATATTCAGCCCAGACTCCTACACAGCTGGGTCCCCCTTAGTTCACTCCTTCCATACGGTTGTGTTGAGTACCCACCACCTGCCAGGCATGTTGGTGCACCTGAGGATTGAGGCAGGCCCAAGGACTGTTCTTGACCCACGGGACAGCGAGCTCGTTCTGGAACAGTAGCAGATGCAGCTGCCACATTTCTAGAGAACCAGCTGCCTTGTAATCACTTACTGCTTAAGGGAGACCTAGGGGTAAATTCTTTTGTAATTTAAATAATTAGCTTTTGATATAGACATCTGTCTGGGACATTTGTTTTCCTTTGGGTTCAACTGGACTTTCAAGATTGGTTTCGAGGTTTTTGTTGTTTTTTAATTTTTATTTTAAAATTTACATCCAAGTTAGTTAGCATACAGTGCAACAATGATTTCAGGAATAGATTCCTTAGTGCCCCTTATCCACTTAGCTCCCCCCACAACCATCTGTTTGTTCTCCATATTTAAGAGTCTCTTATGTGTTGTCCCCCTCCCAGTTTGTATATTATTTTTGCTTCCCTTCCCTTATGTTCATCTGTTTTGTATCTTAAAGTCCTCATATGAGTGAAGTCATATGATATTTGTCTTTCTCTGACTAATTTCGCTTAGCAATGTTTCCAGATTTTATTAAGCCAAGGATGTAGGCTGCTCTGAAGACCCCAGCAGTGGCCTGTGGTGCACATTGGTGGAAACTCCCTCCTGTAGTTAATAAACCTTCCATCCTTGTAAGTCACAATGCTTCATAGTACTTACTTAGTAAGATTTTCTTTGGATGAGGAATGCCTGAAAAGCATGCTCCTCCAGCTTTTGTAAGTTTGGCCCGGTCAACCCCTTCTGGAAGCTGGGTCTGTCTCTTTAGACTGGTGGGGACTATATCCCACAAAGATTATCCATACCTGCTGTAGGACAGACATTTGGTTGGTGTTAGATGCAGAGATTTCTCTAGGCAGCCACTTCCCAAAGCGTGATCCAGGGACCCCTAGCTCCATAGAGAAGTATGGGGTGGGGGCGCCCGGGTGGCTTAGTCGGTTAAGCGTCTGACTTTCGCTTAGGTCATGATCTCGCCGTTCGTGGGTTCGAGCCCCGCGTCGGGGTCTGTGCTGACTGCCAGCTCAGAGCCTGGAGCCTGTTTCAGTCTGTGACTCCCTCTCTCTCTGACCCTCCCCTGCTCACGCTGTCTCTCTCTCTCTCCTAGAAATAAATAAAACATTAAAAAAAAAAAAAAAGAAGTATGGGGTGGTAAGTGCAGGGGAAGGAGTGATTCTCTGGTCAGGTGCTGGTTTCTTTCTGTAGCATATGAGGTCCTGCTGAGGCACAGCATGAATCCCCAAGAGGAGCTGGAGCACAGGGGTCCCCAAATTTCTTTTCCCAAAGAGAGTTTATTTGGGTCTTTGCTTTAAATTACAGCGCTTTAACAGACCAGCGTTTTTATGAGCATGTTCCTGATCATTCTACCAATGACACCCAGGCCTGTGCTCCCCAGAAATGGGTCTGGATTTCTATGCTGGCTGCTTAGGGCAGCTACCTCGATGGAGGGACAGGTAGTGAGGGGGGTTATGGTCAAGCTGTACTTGCGCAGCAAGTGCACCCATAGCTTAAAATAGCAAAATGATCTAAAGGTGCTTTTAGATGTCAGGTTTCCAGGTCAAAGTTTATTCTCATGATTGCTTTTATTCAGGAGGAGGAAGTGTAGCAAGACACTACTGAGGCCCTCCCTGGGGCCAGCATTGGCTACAGCTGAGCTAGCCTCAGGATACCCTGGGCTGGCGCAACCTTGAGGGCCTGGAAGAAAATGGTGTCGGTCACTCCCTCCCTGGCAGCTTAGGGACTCTCTGGTG